AGCAAAGCCGCTGTATGTCCCTGTACCGTTGTGCTTCAAGATCTTCTCTCTTCCTGACCTCCTTTCCTTTGTCTCTTTCTCATGTCAGCCCCTTATCTGGTGTGAACTGAGCCTTTTTTCCTGAGAGGCCGTGAATCACCTCTTACACATTCACATGTCTGATTGTCATCACAGCCTTGAATACTCATGTTATAAACCACACCGAAATGTACGCGGAAACTGAAGCGCCAAGATATCATAATGACATCCTGAAGCCGTTTAAGGCCAACACACACTTCAGAGTGTGACTTATGATCCCATTTATGCTTAGGCAGTCAAAAGAGAGCAATCTGTCGGGAAGGAACAAACCCTTTATTGCTGGTTTCAGACATAAAACAGATACAATCTCATTGTAAATGTGTGCGCATGTAATAACAGTTATTTCCAGACACATGTTTTCGGCGCAGTCTGTGGCTGTTTGCTCATTTCCGTTCCCATCCCTCCGTTCTTCCTTTGCCTCTCCCTTTTTCTTTTTTTTTCCAGGTCAACTCCCTTCATTTACAAGACGTTACACCAGGAGAAACCGAAGTCACCGTGTCACATGGGCGTACGGCAAGTTAAAAGTGGAAAGAGGAAACCGGCTCTGAGCTGTAGCTAACGGTGCCAGTGAAAGAGCTCTGCGAACGAGGGAGCAGCGGGTCGGCCACCATCCAAAGTCCGGCCGGGCGCGGTCGGCCCGTCAGCCTCAACTGAGCCGTCGCGGACGCCGACATCTGACGCTACAAAATGACATAATTCTCTGTGTGGGTCCTCTGTGAATGGGACGTGTAGGGTGGATGCAGCCTTAAAAGGTTAAAGCAACAAGCTTGTGACAAGATGATCACAGGTTTGAAATTTGGGACAGGAACGCACAACAAGAAAATGCTTCAGTGCTTTTTGTAAATAGATCTACATGCTGACAACTCTCATTATGATGTTGCTGACTGATGCTGATGATGCACTTTTTACATAACGAGCTCTTGCTCTTGTGCCAGTTTTCCCTCAAACCTCAAACTTCTAAAATCAAACACTTGGCCGCTACAAGGTTGAAATATTCTGTATAATTGTTTGAATGTGTGCTTTTGATTTCTATGCGGATAGAAGAGGCGGTGAGTAACCTCTAGTTATGTCATAGATGTGTCAAATATCAGTAGATCAGTCACTGACACTGAAATTCAAATAGACAAAAGGCAGTGCAAAGTTGTTGTCAGCTATGTTGCCTAAGAAGAAGCTGGTCCTCCTTCAAAATAAAAGCCATATATATGTATATATGTATGTATAAATGTAATGTGATAAAAAAAATGTGTTAATATCAAGATATTAACAATCAAATGTGTCTGTAAAGCAGCAGCAAGCAGGGCCTCAAAATGAAAGTAACACCGCCGCGGGCTCCACTGTGTGGGGATTAGTCAGCACTCCAGGATGTGCAGTTACAGCTACACTATCTTCTGCAAACTAACACACCACAAGCGTGGAAATGTGTTTAGGCATCGGAGTATTTTTTCTGTGTTGTGTCGTGTTCTCGCGAATACAGTTGTGGAAAAAAAATATCACTTCGCATAGGAGAGCGGAGAGCATTAAGGGGAAGGAGTGATTGAGGGAAGAGAGATGAGATGGGTAAGAGCGCAGCGAGGGGGCGTGGGGGGAGTGATGGAGGGAATGATGGATAGGTAGAATAATGGAGTGAGGGAGCCGGCCATTAGGTTGTGAATAAAGGGGAGGGCCTGATGGCCAAAACAACAGCTCTAGTGTCATTAGTCAAGCGCGACCAACAGCCTGCGAGCAGAGGAGGAACTCATACCCAAACACACACACACACACACACACACACATATGGATCCACAAACACATGCAAGCTCACTCAAGCACAGTGCGACACCGTGAGCGACTCTGGCTTATATGGCCAATTAGGAAAGGAGGGGCAGAGAAAGAGATGGGGGACAGAGAGGGGAGAAAGATGAGGAGGATGTCAGAGGCGGACAGATGGAGAGGGAGTCGGGGGGGTCGGGGGGGGGGGGGGGGGGGGGGGGGGGGGGGGGTCGGAGAGAAGAGGAGGAGCAGGAGAAACTGAGACGAGAGAAGAGAGGCAGTGTGAAAATGCACGGTCACAGTGGTGGGCGGTAGGTGTGAGGACTCAGCAGCTCATCAATATGAGAGCGAACCAAACTTCAGCTGCCCCTGCATCACTCCTAACGGGCGTTGCCATGGCAACACACATGTACATCTCCACATTGGCGTGCTCCACAGACGGACATGCAGCCATCATAAGGTTCCAATGTGAGCCTGGCCTAGATCCTCAGTAATCACTAACATATTGAAGTGATGTGTCCACATCCTGGCCCACAGGGTGTCCATCTGCCTCCTCATATAAACACAGAGACATTCTGCTGACGTTTGCAGGGATTTACATAATTTACCAATACTTCATGTTACCGTTATAAAAGAGGGGGTCAACATGCTACAAATCAAGCAGCACACGTGCGGGTGAGACTCTTGTCACCCATCATCTCTCAATCATTCTCCCTTGCACACAAACAGACAGAGGATGTGTCAGCTTCCCTGTGGGGCAGCAGTACAAATGTGAAATCAATAGTCTTGTCCCTGCCCTCAGGAGATCAGGTTACATCCACACACAGACGTGTATATATATATATATATACATATATACACACACCCACATAGGGGCTCAGGTGGTATACTGCAGTGGGCTCTCTCTCTTTCACACACACACATACACACACACACACACACACTTTCAAACATGATGCAGCACTGCAGCAGCAGACAACAGAGGCTGACTGTTGAGAAGACCAAGCCAGACATTAAAAACAGGTACTGCTTTAAAAAAAAAAAGAGAGAGAGAGACCTACTGCTGTGCTCTGGAAAAAAACCAAAGGAAAAAGAGCTGAGCTGCTGTGACGTAAAATCTTCAGCTCATGTTTTAGCTCAGCAATGTAGGTCTGTTTGGGTATAAATATGTAGCTTTACAATATTAAGAACCTGCTGTAATTTATTAATGTAAATGGTAGTATACTTCAATATTTATGTCACTAAATAAAATCATTATGGGACCAACAGATAGATTTTTTTTTTATCCGTTCTTTGCTTGGTCTAGCAGAACGGGAGGTTTACATCTGCCACCTGTTAGGCAATACAAAGCACAGTAGGTATAACATACTGCACAAGCAACACATGTCCAAACACACACACATATACATACACACACACGCATGGATACCCCATGCATGAACAATACATTCCTACTGCAGCAAGCCGGCCATGTGCAATGTGTAGTACCTAAAGGCAAAAAGCAGCATACAGCTGTGCGCATGCCACTAGCAGCTGGGCACGTCTTCCTCCGTTAGCTTACTACGTTTCCCATCTTCCCCCTTGCTAAGCCCTTCACCTCATAACCCCTGCAGCTGACCACTGATGAGCTACTGCTGAAAAGCCTCTTGTTATCTGAATGTGATGCAAATGTCCGAGCGTGTGTGTGTGTGTGTGTGTTTGTGGGTCTCATCAGACGGACATGAAAAAATGTGCCAGTCTGTTTCCTGCCACGCCACCTCCAGCATTCCTGCTGTGCCAATGCTGCCATCCTTGAGGAATGCGCGCACACACACACACACACACACGTCTTTGTGGTTGCAATCTGTATTTCTTTAGGAATAGCGGTGGTGGTGGGGGATCATTTCAAGGACAATCTGTTTTAAGACTGCCCGATTCTGAATGAAACAGTTGCCATGACAACCGCATCACAGAACAATGACATGTTAACCGTGGTCTTGCATGCGTGATGTACATGTTGAATAATATTGGCAGCTCAGTGTCGCCGTTAGTGAGCATCTCTGCATGGCAACCTCCCCTTAAAACACATGATGCTGACACTGACACACACACACACACACACACACACACACACACACACACACACACACACACACACAGTCAGTCACCCGCCAGTCACACAGCTATAAACCTTTATAAATATCTCTGACACATGAGCATCCCAACTTCCTGAAACAGTTTAAGTGCAGGGGAGCAGGCTTCCTCCTCTCAGCCTCAGGCTCCATCACTGCTGGGGTCCCAGTTTAAAATTCAGCTTCCTTCCACAGCCTCACTGCCGGGCTTTTTACTCATCACGAGCTTGTTTTCCAAAATTAAAAACAACCCAGTACGAGTCTGGGCCTTCGGAGTCTTGTTTCGCCATGTGTGCATTTCCTATAAAGCGGCATCATTCAGCCGAGCAGCAATCTAAATATAGATTTCCTTGCTGTGTGAGTGATTGATCTGAAAATGAGTACATTATGTAATTACTTCATCTCTGAAAAAAAAAAAAAAAAGAAAGAAAGTCAGCATCTCTTGTACAAATATGAGTGGAAACTTTGAGGCTCTGGGTTTCAAAATCAACGCAGATCTGTGATAGCGAGAGAATACAGACGTACTGAGAGAAGCATCGCTTTGCTACACACCACAGCCATGGTTCGCCCTCACATGGTTCCACTTTAGTCAAGAATTATCTCCTTCGCTGAGGGAGACTCTCCCCTGACGAGATCCTCAGAGGTTTGACTCCTCTTTCATTTGGCTTTAATTTACAAGGCCTTCTGCCTGAGGATTTGGCTAAACAACAAACAACAAACACATGATGGATCTACACCGTCGACTGGGGATTCCACTTGCTGAAAAATTTTAAGCTGCGAGATGACAGATGATAGCTGAACACATGATTCCTCAGACGTGCATGTCAGAGGCACTGCACTAAAACTGGCATTTGAGACCACCTTAAATAACTTCCCTGGCGGCTGCCTACAGCAGCAAATGGTGTCAAAACAATAATCTCTGTGGCATTTGTGCGAGGAAGCCTGAGTTTTTTGCGAAGCTTACGTCAATACCGTCTTTCCTTTTTCCTCTGCTCAGAATTTATTACCCACAGAAAGCAGCAGTGGCACCATTTACTCACTGTGGTTTACAGGAACTCTTACCTCTGAAGTGGCTTTCTCTCCTTCCTATTGAGGTGAAAGGTCAAGCGAAACCACCACTCCTCTCTGCGACTGGGCTTTTATCCCCTGGAAACAAGAAAAGAAAGAAAGAAATAAAGAAAGGAAGAATAAAACCAATCAGATATGATTTGCTTTATTTTTTGTGGCTGTTGTAGAAGAAGCGCACGCCCACTGCTTTGGTCACCTCGACCACGGCCATTAGTCAGTGAAATCCCAAACTTTATGGATCGAGTGTTTGCTCTCACCGCACTGCAGGGGAAATCAAGGGAATTGGCAGCCGGCAGCAGGAGGAGAGCAGACTTGATCTCACTGTCACAAGAATGCAGGGGATTAACTACGGAGGGTGCTTGAGCGAGAGACTTAACTAAGCACAGGCGAAAATGACACACGCGGCCAGAAAGACACTTATCTCACAGCTCGGAAAGCAATCAAGCACAGTTCTCCCTTCATTATAAACTCTCTCTTGTCTCTCTCTCTCTCTCCTATTAGTGCGAGATTAAGAATGTGACATTTGAGCTGCAGAGGCCTTCTCTCGTTTGACTGCAAAGCCTTTCAGGACCCGCACGCATGAACACATACACACACACACACACACACACGCAGCTAACATAATAAGCATTGCAACTACCACAGGCTGATAATTTCACAACATGAGTCAGAGTAGAAACTCAAACTTTGTCAAAACTCTTAGTTGTGTATTAAGTGTGACTCACCAGGTCTCAACAATGCTGACGGACATTTCAGCGAATCATCACCTCAGTTCTGACTCACAGCGGCCTAACCTTATTTTATTTAAAACTATCTGGATGCTGAATCATAAAAAATATAATGTAGGTATGTCAGGTTATAACATGCTGAGCTGGCTGGAAAATATCAGTGCTATGATTTGGTCATGGTGTGTATTTACTTTGAGTGTGTGTGTGTGTGTGTGTGTGTGTATGTCTCTGAGAGAGAGAGGTAGGCAGCTGATGTTATGGCGAACTACGGAGGAAGACATTCCCGCTGGCCTCAGCTGTTCCTTCGTTTTCTACACACCAACTGTTGTTCATCCGCAGCATGTGGCTGGCCCCCAAAAAAAAAAAAAGTGTGTGTGAGCGTGTGTTTTCACAGCAAACACACTTCTTGTAACAGGGCGAGAGTGTCAGAAAGAGCACGGGTTTGTGTGTGCGTTGGTCATGCCGTACGTGTGTGTCGAAAACACAACTGCCTGTTTGAATCGCAAGTTAACGTGTGATATCACTCAGTCAACACAAGGCTATACAACAGGTGTGGCAGTGACACATGGGTCTGTGCAGCTGCAGGGAACAGTTGCTCCAGTCACAACAGCGCACAGGCCGGCAGGCAGCTGCTCCCACGCTGAAAACAGAGGCAGGCCTGCGACACACGCACAGATAAACACAGCCGACTTCTGATCAGTGGTTTTTTTTTACAGTGAGGGAGATGACTCAGATCAAACAATTTCAGACATGACTTCTATTTTCCTTTTCAAATTCTGTAATAAGATGCAAAACTTTGCTTATCTGATTTTTTTTCTTTCTGCAGCATCATTACAGTGCCGGCTCGCAAAGTTGCATGGGTATGAGAACTATGAATTCTCAGGTACATACGCAGCACATGTTGTGTTTATGGAGCCTGTGCAGAGCAACATGCCCTGGGAACAATGTCCTCCCTTGTGACTGAATGCTGAGGCGACTGTGTGGGCACTACAAAAACACACAACTGCCCAAAAAGGTGCCCTGTGTGTCGCTGCCTTTACAACAGTTGGTTTCAACACACTTTTTATGTGGCCTAGATTGGTGCCCCACTTCAACAACACACCAAAGGGGAAACACAGGGACCTATGTAGTGGACACAGGTGTGTCCTTGTCCGCCCCCATTAACTGCAAAACCTTTGGGGTGGCTCATTTCCTGTCGGGGCAGGAAGTGGGAAGGAGGGCAGGGCACTGAGTGAGCAGGGGGTGACGATGATGTCACAGCAGGAAAAGAAAGGCCGGATTGTTGTAGGGGGAAGCCCAGCGAATGAGTGTGCAGGAATCAAGCGGAGCTAAACGCACGATATGTTTGCACAGTGCATGTACTGTATGACTGTCAAATGCTCCGTCTGTGGCACTAGCCGTATACTATATATAGATATATATATATATATCTATATATAGACACATACTGTAATAAGTGTTTTACCGGACCACATAACAGACTTGTTCCAAACAGACATTAAAGGCAAAAATGAGACACAAGCCACTTCACAGGGTTTCTGTTGCTCAGGATGACACGCCACATTAAACCGGGAAGATCAGTGGATATTATTCCCCTTAGGCATCTGTGTCAGACCCATTCAAAGAGAGGTAATGTATGCCTCATACTGATCTTCAATGATGTGACTCATTCACAAAGATTTTTTTTCCTCTTTTCTTCAAACAAACACCATCAGAAAAAGTTTTATTTTAAATGATCATCATACCAGCAGCGTCTGTAATAAAGGGAGGAATAGTTAACATCGGATACTTTAGCATTTCCTGTTTCATAACACACAGAAATACAAAATGAAGTGTGTATTCTGTTTGATTCAGATTTTCTAGATTAGTCATAATGATGACCAATCTGATGTACTGGATGAGTACTGGCACTTATACAAACAAGAATACATTTGGTCAGATGTGAGCAATCCATCTCAAATATTTTCTTAGTCACTCTTGAACGATACAACTGAGATAAATGATCAAAAATAAGACTTTAACTTCTTTAGGTTTTGGCACACTCACACATTAAAAGGAAAATTCCAGTAGTTTTTCAACCACTAATTCCCAGATGTGTCATTTTGAACTTGTGCCACAGTTTGGAGGATGAATTGTTTTGATTAAAAAAAACAGGAAGAACTTACAGTAGAAAAAAATACAATACAATAACATTACAAACAATGGCCTTAAAATACTATACAGTTAACAACAACACATCTATTAACATAATCTTGCAGGACGGTAGAAAGTGGAAACGAATACTGTAAAGATCATAACAACATACAAACACATACTGCACAGGGAGCAAAGTCTGCTCTTAACCCTACCTGCACAAAGAAGCAGAAACACCACGTCAGAGTGACGCAACCGAGGCCAAAGATTAATGATGAAAGATGCATTCCTCCCGTTCTTGTGTTGCATGACAAGATAGCATCTGGAAATGTGATAAATTACAGTGTTGTGTTCTGTGAGAGATGACGAGGCAAACACAATACAATGCGGTAATCTGGTTGTGACACAGGACAGATTCACTCCCTAATTCACCACTGATCTGTAATAACAATGGCTGCTGGTCCCAGGGAGATTTATTGATCAGAAACAACATCGTAATCTGGTTTCACAGCAAGACGAGGCCTTAGCAGTGACCCTGAGCGCTCCTGTAAGGGCATTGAGGCAAAACCATCAGTCAGCTGACTGACTGATGGGTTCGCTACAAAGCCCATCCTCGCTGGGAAGGTGCATTAGTATTGATCAGCGTATTGCTTTTACACCAAATCAAGTGGAACTGGAAGAAGCTATTCTTGCACAGTGGACGGCCTGACCTCTTCCGTAGGTCAATACAAAATCACTTGTTGACGTGTTGATGTTCTGACCCATGACTACTCGCTACTCATGTAATAATGCAGTAATGGCTGCCGAGTACACCTGGGTCGGACCACGCCCATCTCTGTCTTGATCTCAACTACACACCTGTCGTGACTGTATCTTGCAGGTTGTGGCTCCATCACGGTGACGACATCCGTCCACAGACAAACAGACGTATAAACACCTGCCGCAGCACATTTTACCCTGATGACACACACACACACACCCAGACTCTCACACACACACACACACACACACACACACACACACACACACACACACACACACACACACACACACACACACACACACACACACACACACACACACACACACACAGACTCACTCACAAGGTGAAAACAATGCCAACAATATAGTCATTTCACATCCATGTCACCTTCTGATTTTCAAAATAAGATACCTATATCAATAAACTTAAACTGCCAGCAAGTGATTCATCCATGACTAATATTAACACAACTACTCATGTGGGTACTTTATTTTACTCACTGCACTCAAGGTCCTCTGACACCAAAGTGCCTCCTGGTCACATGACAAACCATTAACACGAAAAAAGTGAGTCCCTGCACCGAGGCTAAACACACAACTTGTTCTCTTGAGCTTTAACCCCTGGTGAAGGTGTTACTGGACTGACCCTGCAGTATCACTCCCAGACTACCTCTGCTCTTCCCACTCACACACACTGAAGTCTGGTTGCGATTACAAGGAGCTGATCTCCTCTCCTCAGTGGGATTCTCCACGGCCCCTGCAGTGAGCACTCGGCTCTGGAAAAACCACACATGGTGGGAATTATGGAATAATGCTGCGTCAGGAATGTTCCCACGATGGCCAGTGGGATCTGACGGAGGTCCCACTGGCTGGCTAGCTGCCAGTGGGGTTTATGGGTAATGTAACACACATATACAAGGTTACATGATCACATGCCTCTTGTGTTTGTCTACATTTGGACCTGTTCCTTCTTGTGTTGGATCAAAACAGTCCTTTGTGTCAGAGCGTTTTGTGGACTGTTTTCATCTAACCGCAGTGCAAACTCTCAAACCTACTCATTAGCGCAGCTCGCTCAAAGCTGATCAGCTTACAGACAGAAATCGGGATTCTCATCCACACTGTTTCAGTCTCCAACAGCAGCGAGGGGTGAGGGGGTCAAGCTCACTGACCGCAGATCTGCTTGTGACCCTCCCCTGCAGCCTGGAAGTTGGTCACGGTGCCAAAGATGATTCACTCGCCGAGTTGCCTGTGCGGCACATGGGCCGAAATAATCGGGAATCGCTGGAGAGTGAAGATCAGCGGAGCAGAGAGAGATTAGCAAGCTACTCAGCCAAGTCAATGGCAGCTCGGGCTCACTTGGAGAGCTGCTAGGGTATTAGTCAATGAGATTTGGCAATAGGCAGCCACAAAAACACACACACACACCCACAGAGCACTATTTTGTGAGATTAAGCC